AAATTGCTGTCTTTTGTTATGACTTATTAATTTGAAAAACAAGTCATTTTCACCCCTTCAGAAGTAGATATACGTCAATCGCCAGTAGTTCTAGTATTAATACGCTTAAGAATTAAAAGAAAATAACGACTATTTTACATATGCCGGCCTCATATTTATGCATACTGCTATTTTTATTAGACGCGCGTTTAAAATCTTTTTTGCCAGGGGTAGCATCGGACGCCGTTTAGTGGAATTGATCTAACTTTATAGGATCTGATGTGAGTACGGTATAACAGCGATGTAAGCATGATTTCTCGTAGATTAATTACATTTTTCTAATCTAACAGTCTTCCTAATTCGAACGTGTCAATGAGATGTGTTCATGCATGATAATTTAAAAATAATTACTGTCAATTAAAAATACGTAATTGTCGTACGTTTCGTAATAAATTACGTTCTACGAACAACTCTATAAGCTAGTCGTTTACATGCATACATCAATTCTAAGGAATATTCCTGTTCGTTTCGTGTCCCTCGATTACTCTCGTCACTTTAATCGTTATTTAGAAGAAACAAAAAGGATATACCGCACAGTGAATCATCGTTTTGTTTCGCGTGCCCATTTATAAAATTTGCGCGAATGCCCGCAGTCTGATCGTTGCCATAAAAATTTGTTAAAAAAGGGAATCGATAACCGTGCACCGTGAAAGAGGAGCGTGTACCCACTAAAAATATCTGTACCGTGTTGCACCGCGCTGTCCCGATGGGAAACAGCGTCGAGAACGCGATACGACGAGCGCGTGATCGTGTTCACTCGCGCGCACGATCTCAATTCACGCTCACGTCACATGGTGCGATCGGACCGCGTGAGAGGATCCCCGGTAGTCCTCCGAAAGCCATAAGGTTTATGGCACTCACTGACGATCCAGCGTGCACCATGTGGTTAGATCAAGTGTCGTTACATTTATATCGTATTTTACCGATCAACCGAAAGCCGATTAAGAACATTCGAAAGCAATAATTTCCCAATCGATTAAATGCGACTGTTCCCACGATTAAATTAATCCGTGATCATCGAAACGAAATATAAAAGTCGACGAGATGCGTGCCAATACTTAAAAATAATATATTCTAATCGTAATCAGATCTAAGATCGTCTCTAATAGACCGACTCCTGTTAGCTGGTGTGCATCTCTCACAGATCCGAAGATTGTAAATGAACAGAGGCTTCTCACAGAGTCAATACTGCGAAATTTCTTTCGATTAAACGAGTGCACGCGATTTTTGCACGAACAAGTACCCGGGTGCTACTCTCTCTCTCATCCTGGCGGAGGACCTCGTGGCGAGAGGTGCGCGCGTGTGATCGATGCCCACGCACGGTGCCACCCTCGCGATGACTCACCTCCGGACGCACACGGTGCGGCGGCAAAAGGAGGAAAAGGGAAGAGAGAAGCGGCACACACGCGATATCCCATGGGTCTCGCACGCACGATCTCGGCCACGCTTCCTTCCATGTACAAGATCTTTCCCCGTGTTACCTGTGCTGCTGCTGAAACTTCCACAGTTTCGTGTAGATGTCGAAGGTGCGACCGAAATAACCCTGCCACTGCTTGTGCCCGAACTGTGGCAGGTCCCTCAGCCCGTTGAACAGCTGCTTGCTCTTCTCGAGCAGGTGGCAGAACTCGAGGACGATTTTTCGCTCGTGCTCGTCCATGCCGGCCATCATGACCATCTTTTCGGTGATACGGTTTCGCGGCCGCTGCCTAGACGATGACGTGGGCCCGCACTAAACGAACGGCAAACGGGACGTGGACGACGACGGCGGCGGCGACGACGACTACAACGACGACGACGACGACGGCGAGGACGACGTCGCGGTGGTGGCCCCGCGTGATGGCGCCTGGCCGATTCCGCCACCCTCTCCGCTTTTCTTTTGCGCTCTCCGGGGCACAGAGACGCCGCGGCCAGACGAAACCGAACAACCCCGACCCAATCAATACTTGCCCACCCCGCATCAGGGGGCGCAACGTGCGCCCCGCTTTTGCACCGCCACAACATGCCGCGGCCGCGCGCGACGCAACGTCCACCCGGGACATCTGTGTGATCGGGCTCGATCCCAGGTCCCGGCTTCCCTGATCGATGAATTCGTTTCAAGGGGTAAACGCTGAGTTATCGGGGGTTGCTCTGTCTGTTCACTGCCATCCGAGGGTCGTAACAGTCACGACTACCCTCGAGGGTGCGGTGTCGCTGCTATAATGTCGTTTCGTAAAGATACGCACTCAGGATTTAAGTCGCAAGTGAATTAATGTAGATTTTTTATTACGGATTTGTGACAATGACTTTGAAAACATGTAATGAACTACTGAAATTTTTAAATCCCAGAAAATAGTAATAGTAAACTCTACATAAATTGTTTGTCTTGATATTATCATGCGGTTTTTTAATGTCATACGATTTTAATAAAATCCTTCCACACGAGTTGATGATCGAAATTTCTCGGAAGGGGTGAACGAAGGGGACGGTATTCGACACTTTCGTTGTCGTGGCTCGTTACGGGCGCAGAAACGTTGGGAGTTTTGCCGCCCCGCAAGTCTGCCGACCGTCGGCGGAGATTAATTAACTAGATAACGGTCGGTGGCTGCGAGGAGGACGTTGCGAGAGGAGGGTCGAACGAGAGGACACGCTCGTGGGGGGCTGGCCATGGTGTACGAACCCCATAACGAGCCATGATTTCAAGACAAGATTCGAGGAACTTTTCAAACGTGTTGCAGTTTTTCAATCAGTTTGAATTATTCGAAATATTACGAAGGTATGCAATTCGTATTTTCTGCAAATTCAATTGTGTCATAAACGAATCCGATACGAAGTCTAATAAAAAATGTATCAGATTTCATGTCGCAAAATGAAAGACATTACGAAACAATTGAGATAAACGATCTTAATTTTTATGAGAAATTATTCGATCTGTTCAGATCCATTGCAAGTTCTTTCCTACTTTTCCCTATCATCCGATCTGTCCCTTGTTTTTCCGATCCCACGAGATCAGCAACGCGAGAAACACGCGTTACCGAAAAGGGTTGGAAGTCCGTGGCGGGGGTAGAATTTGCACGGGCATCGGGGGTGGTTTTCAGAGTCGGCTCCTGGCGTATATCGACTGTGTCGCCTCATCTACAAGTCAATCAGCCTCGCGTGCCAGCGACTCGTGAAGGCGGCCCGGCTACACGTAAGTAAGTGGCCGGCCTGCTGCCCATACGTACATACACGCATACAGGGTGTCCCGGCAGATGCAACATCACCAAATCACTCTTTACCAATAATTTCTTTTATGATCTACCGTTGATCTTCCTTAATCTCTGATCGATTCAACTGATTCTAAGAATCATTGAAACACACATTCCGTCAAGACGATTATTATTAAT